AAACACGGAACATACAACGCAAAGCACAACACACACAACACGGAACGATCACCACAAACAAGCTTGTATCAATCAGTAGATGAGAACATTGATATCGGAACCTTACATGAAATTTTAAAATAGATCATGGCTCCGCCTCATTTTTTTGTTTTTTAATTCAGCTTATTTATATACTTTATATAGAAGAAATCTAAAACACTTTAAATGCCTCTTATCTCTCAAAGCTGCTGCAGTTAATTATTTGAAATGTAATTCCACTTTTAATGAAAAAAGTGTCAGCTTCATCAATGTACACTGAAAGGACTTTAACAAATTTTGTAGCCAATTCTGACCTCTGCCTGTTCTGAAGAAGTTGCTGTTTGCCTCACCGTGTCCTTTCCAGACTGATTCCGAATGGGAGGGTCTGATTCCTGAACAGGAGGGGTCTGATTCCTGAATGGGAGGGTCTGATTCCTGAACAGGAGGGGTCTGATTCCTGAATGGGGGGTCTAATTCCTGAACAGGAGGGGTCTGATTCCTGAATGGGAGGATCTGATTCCAGAATGGGGGGTCTGATTTCGGAATAGGAGGGTATAATTCCTGAACAGGAGGGTCTGATTCCTGAATGGGAGGGTCTGATTCCTGAATAGGAGGCTCTGATCCCTGAATGGGGGGGGGGTGATTCTTGAACAGGAGGGTCTGATTCCTGAATGGGAGGGTCTGATTCTTGAACAGGAGGGTCTGATTCCTGAATGGGAGGGTCTGATTCCTGAATAGGAGGCTCTGATCCCTGAATGGGGGGGTCTGATTCCTGAACAGGAGGGGTCTGATTCCTGAATGGGAGGATCTGATTCTTGAACAGGAGCGTCTGATTCCTGAATGGGAGGATCTGATTCCTGAAAAGGAGGGTCTGATTCCTGAATGGGAGGATCTGATTCATGAACAGGAGGGTCTGATTCCTGAATGGGAGGATCTGATTCCTGAATGGGGGGTCTGATTTCGGAATAGGAGGGTCTGATTCCTGAATGGGAGGATCTGATTCATGAACAGGAGGGTCTGATTCCTGAATGGGAGGATCTGATTCCTGAATGGGGGGTCTGATTGCTGAACAGGAGGGGTCTGATTCCTGAATGGGAGGATCTGATTCCAGAATGGGGGGTCTGATTCCTGAATGGGAGGGTATGATTCCTGAACAGGAGGGTCTGATTCCTGAATGGGAGGGTCTGATTCCTGAATAGGAGGCTCTGATCCCTGAATGGGAGGATCTGATTCATGAACAGGAGGGTCTGATTCCTGAATGGGGGGGTCTGATTCCTGAACAGGAGGGTCTGATTCCTGAATGGGGGGGTCTGATTCCTGAACAGGAGGGTCTGATTCCTGAATGGGGGGGTCTGATTCCTGAACAGGAGGGTCTGATTCCTGAATGGGGGGGTCTGATTCCTGAACAGGAGGGTCTGATTCCTGAATGGGGGGGTCTGATTCCTGAACAGGAGGGTCTGATTCCTGAATGGGGGGGTCTGATTCCTGAACAGGAGGGTCTGATTCCTGAATGGGGGGGTCTGATTCCTGAACAGGAGGGTCTGATTCCTGAATGGGAGGATCTGATTCCTGAATGCGGGGTCTGATTTCGGAATAGGAGGGTCTGATTCTTGAACAGGAGGGTCTGATTCCTGAATGGGAGGATCTGATTCCTGAATAGGAGGGTCTGGTTCCAAAATGGGAGGGTCTGATTGCTGAATAGGAGGGTCTGATTCCTGAATAGGAGGGTCTGGTTCCAAAATGGGAGGGTCTGTTTCCTGAATGGGAGGGTCTGATTCCTGAATGGGAGGGTCTGATTGCTGAATTGGAAGGTCTGGTTCCTGAACAGGAGGGGTCTGATTCCTAAATGTAGTACCTTTGGCCACCAAACCAGCCAGCTAGCCAGCCACACATAACACATAAACCATAACAAACACTTAACAAACACACATACATACCAGTGACGTGTGGTACCGTTGGTTCCGGGTGAGGCATTCCCCAGCTTCTCCCGCACCACGTCCCACCCCGCCCCACGCCAGCCAAAGCCCTTCCCCCAACCTGATCCTTTAGCTAGTGTGAAGGAGGAAGGGAGGAGACAGGGAGGAGCCTCCCTGTCCCTCACTTGCTCGTCACTGCTGACGCATGGAGATCGATGGCCTCAGTGGTTTTTTTTCGTTTTTTTTTGATTGGACAACTTGGACCAATGGCACTTTGCCATTGGTCCAAGCCATCCACAAAGCTCACGCCTCTAACACAGAGTAAAGGCTGTGACAGCTCTGTCCTCAATAGTTAGGTTACACAAGCAGTGGGGAAGCCCGCTGCTGTGTAACCTAACTACCTGTCAAAAGCTGGATGCAGCGCGGCCTGTAATTAACATCCAGCGCTCCGTTCATGACAGGTTAGACAGCGGGGAGGATTTCCCTGCTCTGTAACCTGCTAGAAGCCGATCTGAATGGAGAAAAAGCTGTCAGCTTCAGACTTGTAGCTGACAGCTTTTTCCTCCATAATACTAGGTGAGGCTCCGCCCCCTGATACATACTGTAAAATACACCATACAAACCGGAGTCCACCATTTTCTTACTTGGTCCATTTTCAGGGAGACCGGGACCCTGCAAGTCCTCCCATCTCACTCTTAGTACACTCTATAGGATGATGACGGAGGATAATGAGAGGGAGGAGCCGACTGATTTCAGTCAAATTGATTTGGGCGCAACTGAAAACACTCAGTTTTGCTGAATGAGCTGGAAACTTACAAACCTCCTACATGTTTTTTTTTCGGAGGGTGTATTTGGGTCAGTTTACTTTAATTTAGTGATCTTTATGTTTGTGTTCTATTTTTTCTTTTTGTGTATTTGGTTGTTATTTGTCTTCTGTTGCTTTTTTTTCCCACCAGCTGTGTGTTCTGTGTGAGTATAAAAGTGAAATATTCGGGTCATGGAGGGGTCGTGTTTTATCATACGTATAGGTCCCGATTAGGTGATTGGAGCTTCTGTAACTTTAAGAGGCTGTTTAACCTTTTAATTGCCGATACGGATTGTCAGCTTGCTTGTGGAAGATCGCTCCCACGTGGCTGTAACGTGGGGCCACAAACTGGATTTTGCTCATCCCTCGTGTGTAACTCCATCGATTCTTTTGAATAAGATTATTTTTTTTTTAAATGAATTACAATTTTAGTGGTTTCAGGTTTTTATTCCATGATTTGTTTTTTGTTCCTTTCAGCACTGAACCTGGGAAAATCTGGTGAGTACAGAGCAGAGACTGGAAAGACACCATACCAGATGATGGTTATCTCCCGGTAATAATGGAAATATTTGACATGTAGATATGTCTGTGAAGGTTCTCAGGTCATCGTATATCTATTCGCTGGTTATCCGAGCTTCTGAATTGAAAAAGCTGGTTGGATGACCGGCGAAACATCAGAAAAATACAGCAAGTTCAGTTGCTTTGATAATTACGTGTGGAGTTTTCTTCAATTATTTAATTTTCAAGTGAAATTAAATTTAAGTGAAATTAAAAAAAAAGCTGTGGAGCTGTGTGATCATTGGATGGATAGAGGGAGAGACAACACTTTCCAGTGTCTGCAGAAAACATGGAAATCTCCGATCTCCCAATTTCCAGGGAATTGATTTTCAAGATTCATTTTCCATTGACATCAATGGGGTTTGCATCAAAGTTGGCGGCTGGCGGAATACAGGATTGTCCATGGGGTGTCAGATGGAAACAATGAGTCAGAATTACTTCTTGAAGGAAAACTCTCATGACAGACATAGGCCGCCATTGTTGTAAACATGTTTATTGGTTACCTTTCTCTAATGTTACATTTTCTTTTTTTTTTTTAATAGAGTGGGGGAGGGGTGGTACCACCGCTTTCTGTGAGTTCCCATCAGAGCAAGAGGGCACAGACAAAAACTAATGTGATATATAGAAATCATTCCTTTTTGGCTAGAAGGAATGATTTGTGCACCTTAGGGTGTTGTGTACAGACCCGGGAACTCAGCACAGGGATGGTGGGAGATCCTCATAATGGGCACAGCAGGTGTACAGACCCGGGAACTCAGCACAGGGATGGTGGGAGCTCCTCATAATGGACACAGCAGGTGTACAGACCCGGGAACTCAGCACAGGGATGGTGGGAGCCCCTCATAATGGACACAGCAGGTGTACAGACCCGGGAACTCAGCACAGGGATGGTGGGA